CAACTTCCTTTTGCCTTTTGGCTCATAAAAGAGCAACACATACCCAGTATGCATCTTCACCTTCCTCCCACCCCTCATTTAAAGGGGTTTCAATTAACATTAGAGCACCTTACTAGGTCTAACAAATAAAATGCCTTGTGAGAGTAACTGGCACAACAGGGCTCCAATAAACAAAGCAGATCTGGCACATCCCACAATGTAATTGTATTAGTGTGGGCTGCTTCAGTCCTACTTCTTGAAGACTTTCCAGAAGTTATTTACCAAGAAGAAAAAAAATACCCAACAACCAAAAACAACCCAAACATGTTAAATAGGTCAGAGACAGTCAAGTATTTCAATCATCTGTGTATTTAAAACTACACATACAAACTAAAGCTCTTTTCAAAGCAAGGTGCCTTTAAGAACTAATGTTGAAAAAACAAGTTGCAAGTTTAGCTATTGAAAGATCCATATTTTTATGCAGCAGCAGAACATCACTCTCAAGCTCACTTACAGAAATTGGGGGGTGCATTTTTATTTGTTCTGGGTTTTTTTTACAGATTTTCTTTTCTTTTTTTAAGAATGATGTATCAAGAGGATTTCCCTCTTAAAATTTGTGCTCCCTTAAGAGTCCTGCAGAATGAGATCCAATACTCCAGCATAACTTTTGATCTATCTTTGTCTTCAAACAAGATGCAAACTTGGTTTTAATCAGACATTCTTTCAATTCCCACTCATTTTACTACAAAACCCTATTAAACCAATACAAGGAAAAACAAGGAAAGCAGCAAACCACAGCAACATTTAATTACAGGGCAGGAGGAAAAGGAGCTGAGGGAAAATGTGAACAGCTTTAAGGTTTTCAAAATGGTTCTGGAGCTTTTCAAGTGTAAGCTAAGGAAGCTATTAACAGACATGCATATTACTGATTCAATTCTGAGCATGAAGTTGAAATGGTACACATTTCAGCCTAGTAAAGTTAAGGGATCTACAAGGAAGTCATTCCTATGGCTCCTCCTCCTCCTAAGCAAGTTTATGCTGCTGGAATGGAAGGCATTCTAGTCTATAGTGAAATACAATGCAGGGTTTCATTCTCAACATAAAAGCGCCTCCAGAAGCTTCTACCCTGCTCTACCAGCTCCAAAAGCTGGACTCTACCTTGCCTACAAAGTTACTGCTGCAGAGGTGATGACCAACCCATTCCACTTAACACTCACCTATACCAGGATGCACATTTACTACTGGGTGGGGTAGCTGCCAGGATACCAGTTCCTCTCAGGGAATCACCAGAGCAACATGATACATCAGCCCTCTGCACAGTGGAGAAGAGTCTCAGAATACACTCCACTTTCACAGCCTGCCCACCACTCAGTGCACAGGTGAAGAAAGAGAAAGCTGGGGCAAAAAGACAACTGAAGCAGTGGGAAAGAGGCTGGGGTTTCGTGCCTCTAACTTCTGGTCCTGCAGCTCTTTGACAGTGTGAACTTCTTCAATACAGTGTCTTGAATTATCACAGTTTAAAATAAATTAATAAGTAAGCAAACAACAGGCCAGGCTTCCTCTAGTCTCTTATAGCATCACTAGGCTGAGTCTGAAAATACCCTGTTTACAGACTGCATCACAAAGTAAGCCATGGAAGAATACTAGGCTTTCTGTGAGAGCACTAACTGCCACTACCCAATAACAAAACTAAAGCATGTGAATGGTGGGTGAAAATATTTCTTGCTACATACAAAAGTTTGCTTCCTGAAATTTATAGAAGCATTTCCACTTCCTGCTGGCAAAGTCAAGGAAAATACTGTCTGCATAACTATGGAAGAGCAAAACCAGGTAAATTACACAGAACAACTTGCAAAGACATCAGTGTCATCTACCTGCCCCTAACTACTACCCTCTGTGCTAGGAGTTAAATTGTTACATCTGAAGTAATTCAATTTGTACCCAGGATAGCTTCTTTGGAGAGATTAAACATGTATGATGGCATTTCTAAAGACATCACGCTTGTCATGACAACTAGATAAATGTAATTACAGACTACTGTACTTCTGGCAAGAGGAATCTACTGTAACCAATACCACATTATGAGCAAGCATCTTTGCTACACATGGGTTAAGTTTTCCCTTTTCCTGTTTTAGGAAACGCCTTCATGTTTCTATTTACACACTCCTAAAGCAGAATTCAATCCCTGATGCATCCTCCCCACCCCTGGAGCCCAGCCCTGCCAGTGAAAGATTGCTTCTCACCCAGCTAAGCCTGATCAGCTGGGATCAGCTGGTTATAGCAGCCAACAAGTGGCTCAGAGGGTAGGGGAGCTGTGGGGAGTCCTTGTACCAAGCAGAGCACACAACAGGGTGCATACTGGGAAGTGCAGGACCAAGGCTTCCAAGCTACTGACCTTTCAAGCAGGTATCAGCAGGCAATGAGCTTCTCTGGGAGGATCTCAAGTTAGCAGGAAGAGATGCAACTTTTAAAGGAAGAGTAGAAAACAGCAGTAGCCTGACAGACTCTGGGTGCATCATCAAACCTTCCTGAACTGACAGCTGCCAGCAGCCTACATCTGTTTTCTTATGAATGCAAAATAAGCAAAAGACGTATTTAGGCGGTATTGCAGTAGATGGCTGTGGTGAGAGCAAGCAGTGCTGATAAAAAGCAGAAGTGATGCAACAGGAACAGCCACAGACACAGAAACCCAAGTCTCCAGCTAAAAGGCTGCACAGCTGAGGAGCTGAGATTAAGACCACTGAGACTGCTCTTCCTGAGAGCTGAAACAATTCTCCAGGCAGGAATAAAATAGCTGAAAACAACCACGATCACAGGACAGAACTAATACCATCAAAAATCACTATACCACAGGCAGGACACACATTTAATGACTTCAGTAACCACTACTTGCTGACTCCCCAGGCAGCCCATGAGCTCAAGCAGCCATTTCAGCGCACCTCCACATGTTGCACTAAATATAAACTCTGCTGACAACTGTCTGGAAACTGTTGTTTCAGTACACTGAACAACTCAAGGACATCAGGCCCTCCTCACAGACCACGTGTGGTCAATTTGCATGACAAGCGGAGAAAAGGTGACAGAACCAAAGTCTGTGCTACAGTAATATTGCGGCTGAGAAATTACAGCCTCCAGGTCAGTACTTCCCCATACACAGACCTCACTGAAGCATGTGCGTATAAAAAAAGACTTTCAAACAGGAACATGAGGGCATCTGCCTTTTTATGACTAGTTGTCTAAGAGCAGGTTATGGCATCATTGTCATGTGCTACTCTGCTCTACAATGAGATGCAACACCATAAAGTGATAACAGTTATCTTTCATTTTAAAAGCTTGATTAGGTTACAGGTCTTTCAGGCACACTTCCTTCATCCCAGTGGCCCCTTTAAGAAACATACTACTACATACTACTTTCAGACTGTACTCTCTTCTCCAGTGGTCCATAAAACAGTCATTTATGTAACAGGATAAGCAAATTTAAGTGAGCAGATGAAACTCCAAACAAGAAAAAAAAAGTTCCTTTCTTCTCCAAGTTTTGCTTACAGAATCACTACCAGAAACAACATTCCAGTTATAAAAAGACAGAAGTGACAGCTGTAGAACTGCCAGTGCCACAACTGACCACCAGATTACAATACTGGAAAGAATTATTCTCTCTGCATAGAAGTATGCCCCTAGAAATAGCGTGGCATGAAAAGAAGAAAAGGAGGCAGACTTACAAAGAGATTTAGAACAGACACCTGAAGGCAGTGGATGAAATAAACGACAAACTGCAGACACAAAAGCACTGATCCTTACTGCACTGGTATTTAATATGCAAATTCTCCCTCTGCTCAGGCATTTTGCCTCCCTTTGATGTATACAGACAAGTTCTAACTGGAGATGCAGGATGGGAGAGTCCCCTTTTCCCATTATCTCAAGTATTTTTATCTAAGCAACAGTTAAGTACTCTGAAAAGAACTACCTCACTTCTGCTTCTGTTTGGGGGGGGGGGGGGGGGGGGGGGGAACCCGCATAAAAAAGAAGTATAAAAATTGTTATTACAGGAAAGAGGCAATGTCTTCCCAACTCTGATGCAGGCAAGCTGGTGCCTGATACCTATAGGGCAGTCTAGGAGAAGAGAAAGACAAGCTGAACAGAGGACAGTAAAGATACTCTGGATCAGATCCAGATGTCATGAGCTTAGTCCTACTGAATGAAAAATTAAAGAGGTTAAAACCTCCTATTAAGAACTCTTCTTTCCATTATTCTGACGACTCTCCCGGACAAGCTGCACTGCTCCAGAAACCTCAGGAATTACGGTGACAATAGATTCCTGCCAAGAGGAGCACCATTACATAATAGCATTTATGGGAATACACACAAAAAGCCACTAGGAAGTGCAACCTGACAAGTGCAAAATCCTCTGTGCCCATCAGCTCAGTTTAGCTCTGGACCATTCCAAAGGCAGCTTCAGGATATTTTTAGTTCACATGTTTACTTCCTCTCACCTCCTTCCACCCAACAAAACCTGTTACGGTAACTACACCGAGATCCAAGTCCATTCCCAACGATGTAACCCCCTTGAGAATAAACCCACTTGAAACTACTGTATTTGCATTAATCTGCTTAAAAGAATGCTACAAAGATGAAACAAAAAAAAAACAAAACACCAAACCCAACGTGTCACTGCTTGCATTAAGTACATTTAGAAATAAGAACTACTTATTACGGTATTCTTTCATCTTTTACTCCTTTTCTTTTACTCAATTATAGGGGTACTTACAACAGTTACTGCTTTTCAGTTCTCAAAAGCCCGGCGCGGCTATTTTTGAGTTCCAGGTCCTCCGAGGGATTTAGGATAGATTCGTTACACACATACAAGCTCAGCCTAGGCACTGCACATGTGTGAAGGCAGCTGCTAGGGGAGGTCTGACCTCCATGCGCTGTCAGAGCACCATAAATAAGAAAGCAAAGATGAAGCCCTCACGAACACAAAGTTTCCCACGTCAGACCATCTGCAGCAGTGCCTTCACCCGTACCTTGCTCCCGGACACTTCGCGTCTCTCCAAGAACCCGTAAGCCGTCCTAAAGGTAACACAGAGCAGGGAACACTTCCCGGCTGTTACTCCCGGGGGTTTTAAACCCCAGCGGTTCTCCCCACACCAAGGGGGGATCCACACGCCTAACTACACGCCTTAAAGCCCGCAGCCCTCGGAGGAAGCCCAACGCTGCCGTGACGAGGGCGAGAAGCCGCTACCGCCGGTGACGTTACGCAACAGCCCCGGCGGGACAGCCCCGCCGCGGCCCCGAGGGAAGCGGGCGCCGTCCCCCGGCCACGCGGGCAGGGGCCGGCCGCCGGGCGGGTCTCTCCCTCTCCCGGAGGGGGCCGCTCCCCCCCGCGCCCGGGTTAAGCGTCGGAAACACCTTCCGCCTCACTCGGCGCCCGAGACGCGCTCCTCCGCTCCCACCCACGCCGGAGCCAGGACGCTTCCGCTGCCCGCTCCCCCGCCGGCTCCTCAGCGGCGCAGCCCGCGGTGCGAGCCCCACCACCCTCCCCTCGCGGCAGCTCACCGGGCAGCTCGGCGGCGGTTCGCGGGGCGAGGCGAGGCACGGCGCCGGGTGCAGGGGCGGCGGGGCAGCGCTGCCGCAGCGGTGGGGCTGAAGGTCGGCGGCCGCGCGCCCCGGCCGCCCCGGCGTCTCACCCGCCCAACGCCCCGGCCGCCGCCGCCCGCCAGGCCCCGCCCCGCGCACCGCCGGCCGGGCTCCCGGGACGGGGCGGGGCGGGCCTTAAAGGGGCCGCGTGGCGGCCGGTCGCGGTGCGGCCGGTGGGGGGCGCTGCGGGGCGCTGCCGTTCCGCCTGCTGCGAGCGGCGCGGGAGACGAGATCACAGAACCACCGAACGGTTAGGGCTGGAAAGGACCTTGAGATCATCCAGTGCCACCCCCCTGCCATGGGCAGGGACACCTCACACTGAGCCGTGTCACCCAAAGCTCTGTCCAACCACGAAGCATCTCTTTGCTTTCCTTTCTCTTCCTTGAATTAACACCTTCTAGAGATCTGCTATATTACTCACATTTCACTATGGAGAGTGACCTGTTCTCCTTCTTGGGGGAGGCAAACGTAGATCCTACTGGAAAGGTGGAGGGAAGTTTACTTTTCCTATTTTTCTGCAAAAGCACACTGGTCGTTCCGAGTAAAAGCCCATAATAGGCTATAGAATTGGCTTACCACCACTTGATCGGATGTAGGAGATGAATATGGTACATGACAAAAACATTTCCTATAAACACTCCTCTTGCAAAGCACTTCAAAAACAAAAAGCAGGAAAAACCTACATGGTCACCCGGAAAACATGCCTGGAGGCAGGAAGGGAGAGAGCGGGAGTCAGAGCTGCACACAGACTTACCAATTCACACAGCTGCTCTCTTTGTGAAACCTCGGACACGAGCCAGTATTTTCACTGTCCTTTGCATTTTGCTCTGGTTTGACCCATTGGTGCAGCTCTCCTGGACCTGGAGAGAAGTTCAGAAACCCACGTACCTCTGAAAGGAGGCTGCCACGCTGCTCCCTCTGCTCATGGCGTTAATGCGCGCAGAAAACTGCAACTCCTGGCAAATCCTCACTAAACTGGTCTCTCACGGGGGCTGGTTCACATTTTTGGGTTCAACTACTTAAAGTTTTTAAATATTTAGAGGTACTTTTTAATTTCTATGTTATATCTCATTTCCCTAATTCTTATTTATATATACCTCTCTTTATAACTGGATTAGGACACTTTGAGGCCTCAGATACACTAGTGTATCTGGCTTGCTTTTTTGTTTATCGTGGAATCATAAATATCAGAATTTACAGATTATATGTCCAAAGTATCATACAGACATAAAGTAATGCTTTTCACATTGGATTTGCTATACTGCACCAGACCACTGATCTGTCTAATCCAATATTCTGTTTCCGGCATTAGCCAACAGACGATGTTTCAGATGAAGTAAATGCAACTGACAGGTACTTCTCTCTTCACAGTCCAGAACCTGTGACCTACTGGTTCCACTCTTTTCAGGCTCCAGCTTCTGAACGGGGATGTGAAATATTTTCCTTTTATTACATGTCAATAAAGGAAGATCAGGAGGTGCCAGCACCAGCGTGCCTCTCCCTCAGGCAAAAAAGTTTATGGTCTCAATGCAGGTATTTTGGCACAATTTTCCTGATAGTCAAAGTCTTTCAGGTTGCTTGAACAGATATGGAAAGAAATAATGAACTGAAACTTTCAATTTTGGGTAGCATAAATTTTAAAGCATGAATGCTGCCAAACTTCATCGGAAGGTCAAAGCATGCTTATTTTGTGCAGCCCCATCTGATTAAACAATTAATTTCTTATTGTTTATGGATGTTGCTTTTATTCCACAGGAGGAGTATTACTATTGCATGACTCTTAGCCCATTAATATATTCCTTTCTGGCAGAGATGCCAATAGGCATTGTGTCAGTCTGCAGCTTGTGGCAGGGGGCTGGGGGAAGACAGCAGCTCATACATGGGATAGTGGGGTGCCCCACATCCATTTCACCCCAGCCCCCTTGGCAAACCCACAGCAGTAGGGTGGTAGGGGAGTCTGGGCTGGAGAAGCTCTGTTTTACAGCAATACAAAGCAACTCTTCTAGCGCAGCAAACATGGGCTGTTCTGCATGCCTTGATAGATCCCCATAGGGACAGTTGCTGTCATCCAGACCTGCCACTGGATTATTCAGATAAAAGCAACATCTTTTTAATCTCAGCCATGAAATTCTTATCTTCTCCTTCAAACTGCCAAAAGCCCTTCAAATACTTCTGAAAAAAAATGGTACCTTTCACCCTCACATACATACCAGCCCATCTCTTCCATCCCATGATGGACTCCACGGGTTATCGATGTTTGCACAGGTGCCACATACCTAACATGACCCTCATTTCCAGTTAATTTCACTTTTGAGAGAAGCCACAGATAAAATGTAATTCCTGATGGTAGTGCTCAGCTGGAAAAGGTCTCATGACAGTTGAAGCACTATCAGAGAAAAGAATAGCTTAAGAGATAATGTTACTTCAGGCTGTGACACAATCAATCTTTGCCCATAAGCCCTGGTAACGTCACCATCCGGTGCAATGTCCTCCTCCCCAGCATTCTGTGCTCCTGCAGACGAGGAGAGAACGCTGTACCTGTTCCATGCCACTTGCTCCCTCCTCTGCAGAGCTGCCCAGCTGGTATGCTGAAAGACTGAGACAGCTTCACTCCAGCAACAAGCTGCTACAGAGACCCTTCAGGACCCAGCTTGGTCACCAAAGATGTTTTGGCTTCAGAGGGCTCCCTCGCAATCCTTCATAGTGAGACAGCTCTGAAACTCTTACTACTAAGATGCAAGAGTGCTACTCACCTTGAGTTGCTTCCATCAACCCCCCATGTCCAGATTCCAGTGGAAAAGCGGATAGCTGGCATCACACCAGAGGCACCTTTTGTTCCTTGGAGCTGGCAGCATGCAAGGCATGATTCTGGCAAACAGCACCTCCCACTTGCGCATACATGACAGCTATGCACACTCTTGCTCCTTTGCCTTCTTGCTGATAACACCTATGTGACCTATTCATTGGCAACTTGTTTGAAGTGGGATTTGTGCAGCAGCAAATCAGTTTGCTCCTGAAATCCCCACAGCCCATAGTGTCCTGTACAGTTCACCTCTCCTGTTTTGCTTTGTTTTCTCCCACTTCCGTTTGCACACATCTCCTATTCTTGTCAGCCTTGGTTACACTTCCGGGACCATGCACTGGAATGTGCACACATTTTTCATGTTTAGCAGGGCATTACTCATTTATTAACATTCAGAGTAGATGTAAATAGAGAAGCTCACCTCCAAAGCACTACTGAAGCAACATGGGAAAGATAGAAATCTCGGCACACCATACATCCTCCTGCCTTGCTGGGGCACTTCAGAAGCAAAGGGGATGATGCTGAACCTCTTGTCTCTAAATCCCTTTAGCCCTCCGCACAGTTCATAACCTGCTGATGAAGGACAGGTGAGGCTAAATCAGACCATAAGCATCATCTCTCTCGTGGCATTTCCCTTCTTGGAGTACTGTCAGTATTCACTCTGCTAAGATAATTTTCCTTGCTGTGACTTCAAATGCAGTGTGCAGTTGTGGAGCAACCGCTGGGGCTGCAACACCGCCATAGGAGTCAGAAAGCCCAGCTCGCAGCCTGGAGCTTACAGGGATTAGGGACTGGAAGCTGTACAACATCTGCTCTGTACATGTAGGCCTGTACCAAGGAAGCTCAGGGAAAAAAAAAACATCTCCTGGAAACTACCCAGAGCTTTTCTCTCTGAGGGAAACAAACGAGGCCTTAATTAATTTTCTTTCAAATACAGCAAATTGACTTCTGCTCCAGTTGTGCTAGATTCAAGCCACACAGCACAATGGTATTAATTCCACTTCACTTAAGGGCTAAATGTTCAGAGCAAGGAAAAGGGAGTTTCCTGTAGGTCTTGCTCATGTTGAAGTCAACAACCAAACCACCATGGCTTTCACAGGGGCAGTTTCTTCAGAGCCTGCATTTCTGAGGTTGGTTCTGACATGCCCCCGGGTTAGCACAGCAAAATGTAGAACATACGGCTAAGCAAATTGCCTGGTTCCTTGTGTATTTTTAAAGGTCTGCAACATCCTGCCTCAAACTTCATTTTACAGTCTCAGAGATGGAAGCCCTTTCAGTGTCCTGTTCCTAAGGCTGGCGTACAGGTCTGCTGATCATCCTAACTAGCCCTGCTGTCTCAAACGTAATTAACACCAGAGTCCTGTCTGCAGGATTTCCTGACACTGGAATAACACACAGCATTCTGGTGGGGTCTCCTTGGTCCCTCGCAAACTGGTGTTGCACTCCCTTATCTCTACTTGAGACACTTTGCCCAACAGACCAGAAGATCGCATCAGCCTTCTTAGCTTTTGCTTCCTAGGGGTAGCTAGGTAGCCACCCTGAAATCAGCCTCTACACTTGTTCAAGTGAACTGCACCCAAATCCCAGCCGAACGACTCACCTGGGCACAGCACCACTCTGCAGACACCATCCTGCCCAGGTATCTCACCTATGTGGTGTTCTACAGTGCCATGGACCTGTATCAGCTTGTTCAGCACCATCTCATGAATCTCATCCTATGCTGTGCTAAAAAGCAAGGGAGTTGGAGGAAAAAAAAGGTGCAACAAAACCCAAA